ATATATATATATATATATATATATATATATATATATATATATATATATATATATATATATATATATATATATATATATATATATATATATATATATATATATATATATATATATATATATATATATATATATATATATATATATATATATATATATATATATATATATATATATATATATATATATATATATATATATATATATATATATATATATATATATATATATATATATATATATATATATATATATATATATATTTATATATACAGTGAACCCTCACTTTACGCGGTCAATTGAACCCACGGTGGCCCGCGTAAAGTTAGAAACGCGTAAATAGAACAACATAACATATGGGATTAATTGAAATAGAGACCGGGCCGACCCCCAAACTCCACTTTTTCAGACACAATACCGACGTTGTAGTAAAAATAACTTCATAATTTTATGATGGTATGCACACACAATTAATAATTAAGAGAAATATCAATAATATTAGGTTATTTAACACTTACATTAGTAGAAAAAATGGCTGGGCACACGGGGATGGGGGGGTTGGTTCCAAGGCAGAGGGCAGATTATTGGCTCACCTGTATCATTTGTATCAATTGTATCACTATCCAACACAGAGGCTTGAGGGCCTCTTTGTCAAACCCCTCAAGTCCATATCCTCACTATCACTATCACTGAATTGGGCTGACTGTGGTGGGTGGCGGGTGAAGAACTGGGTAATGTTTTGTTGACTGGGCGCGGAAATGATGGAAAATACAGCGTAAATAAAAATTGTCGGTCTGGGGATCACTGCCCTAAACCAAAAGCGCTGATGTGCCCGACACTCATTTCATACTGTTGAAGATACAATGATTTTATGCTGTGCTGTGTTGTAATCATTTTAGGTGCTGTACAAATTTTGTGGATGTACAATACTGTACTGAACTGTGTTTTTAATATAGGAAGTAAAACTAAAGTGGTATTAGGTCTAGATAGTGGGTCTGGAATGTAAACCTATTTTTTGTTGTGTAAAATGATATTTGATCTTTGTACAGCAAATTCCAGGAACACATCCCTACCAAGGGCAACCCTCTCCTTGGCTTCTTTCATTTATACTGAGAACACTGCCCTTGTTGATCTTACAGTGTCCTCAGAGTATGTAATATTTTGAGTCAAAGCATCTCACCGATCAAAGAGCTAAATGAGCATTGGTTAATACACAACAGAATAAGTATTTATGAGATACCAATATAAGAGAGGCATCACTTAATTACATCTCCTCATATTAATATTACTGCTATCTTCACATGATGTCTCCTTACCTCTTTGATGTTAGCTCACACTTTGGGAAGCAGGTGACAGAAGAATGTATATAATGTTGATTCAAATCAGTGGACTTGAACATACTTGTGGAAGAAACTCGTGTTAAATTTTTGACAATTGGAATCCCCAGCCTTGTGCATCTTGCAGCAATCATCATTTCCTGTGAAAGAAGGAGCTTCTTATTTCATGTACAAAATGAGGAGTATTAAACCAATCTTATGCAATCAACTGTGCTGAGAACTGGCAAATAGTGGGAACTGTCAGTAACCATGACAACATTGCTAAAGCTACCTGGAGCTGTTCTCATCATCATATAATACAATGTCCTTGTTAGGAAAAAGATGTGTGGTTTTCTCATGATTTATCTTGTCCACATTTCCATTGTGGATATATGGGATGGCATGGTTAATGCTATTTAGGGCAGCTTCCCCAAGCAGTTTCTTCAAGTCATCAAAAGCTGTGAGTGCTTCACAGTCCAGAGGAAAAGATTTAGCCTTGTAGAGAGGCAGTGCCTTGTCTGAAAACTCCGGGATCCACTTAGCGTAATAAGCAAACATACCAAGTACGCGTTGAAGAGCCGTTCGGTTTGTAAGTGGTGGAGTTCTTGCAGTGGTTTTAGCCTTTCAGGATCTGGTTTCATTTGACCATTACCAAGTTGATAACCCAGAAGATTGATCGATGTTGTTGATATTGTAGATTTGGATGTATTGAATGTCAGCTTCCTTTCCTCAGCAGCAGCAAGAAATTTCTCAAGATTTCCGTCATGTTCTTTCTGATCCCGACCAGAAATGGTCATAACCGATCTAAACACACAAATACACTAAAAAGCATAATTTTTACTTTCTAACAGAGATGTGTGCACTTGTGCATATTTACCGATAAAATTAAAGTAAAGTAAGGAAATAAACAGTAGTAAAAATAACTCGTCCGCGGGTTAGTCATAAATATTAACCCCCGGCGGAAATGAATATCAAATTCGTTCAAAACTCATCAAAAATCATAGGAAAAACATAATTTTAATATCCAAATAAAGAACAGTGCTTTTCTATAAATATGCCAAATATGATAAGATAACAACGGAAATGATACATATTATTTTATAACCTGAAATATCCTTCAACTGTAAAGTAGTGAGCACCAAGTACTGTAGTGAATAAGTAGACAAAGTCTTGTGACCAACACTGGTGCAGGTAGATATATTCTGAAGTCTAGTACAGTGTGTAAGAGAGACATAACCCACCGCCCAATCGGCTAACAGCAGGACAATAATTGGGGAAGTTCAAGTAAAGATCTACCATACATCACCTGTAACACCGTAGCTTCACTGTTAATTATCAATCCTCTTTGACTCGACGTTCAACTTACAGCACTGCTTATGAGGTCTACTGTAGGAGCTAGAACCTACAGTGATGGACTGTCACATGGCACAACGTGACCACGCAAACTTATGCCAATAATATCAGTGCTTAAACATCCTGCAACTTATTACCTCACTGGAAGCTGTGGTTAACCTTCCTAACTGCCTCACAGCTGTTATCACCGTTGTTGCCTCCGATTGCCTGTTCCTGGCTTGTGTTCACTGTTCAACTATCACACGGTAACAATACTAACATTCACTATTGTTTACATTTTTTTAAACACTCTATTATTAAATTAGATATTTATTTCTAATGAATATTGCAATGACTAACTACTGGGTGTGGTTTAAGGCGAGACAAAGCTATTATAAGGTAGATGTTCGGATAGTTACACCACTTATCAAGAACCATTATCAGCTCATTTTTTTCTCAAGTCATTTAATTTCTAAACTTACTTACACCGACAATTATAACAGATAAGGCTTTAATAGTGACATCAGTACATTATAACACAACATATAATATATACTCCTGGAAAAAAGGGTATATATTACCTGTACGTATAACCTATGACATCAGTTACTATTAACGAAAAACATCATTTAATATAAGAAGAGTATAATATTTAATAACATATTTTTTAAAGTGATAAGACACTCGAGTAAGTATATGATAAGTTAAGATGTTAATATTTAGTAAGGGTTTGTGTGCTTGTTTACTATAAGGAAGAGGATGGCTTACTACCCGGACCATCACCTTAACCACATCACCAACCTGTCCATTAACTGGCAGTGTTGAAGAGTTAATTACAGGCAGGAAAATATAAATATACAAGGATGGGTGAGGCGGCTTCCTGGGGTGTGGGAGTGTTCTAGTCAGTCTACAGCTCCTTAGACTCTATGGTAGTAGTCATGTCTCATCCCATACACGTTATTAATTGACCTCCCTCTCATGTATAATAAGGTGAGTTCAGTAATATATCTAATTAAGTGAGTCTCGTTTGTGTCCATCTGTGGTGAATTATATGTAGGGTGTATAACTTCCCATTAGGGTCCAACGAATTACCCAAAAGTTCCCAAGAGTATATTAAATCAGGGTAAAATCTTAATGAATATCTGTTATACATACACAAAACATGTCTAATAATATTTTTAGTGTAATTTTGTAAAAAGTAATTTATAAGATGAAATAATAAACAGCGAAAAACTTTCAGTATTGGCGAACGCTAAATTCCAAAGAGTTCGTGAACAAGGGAGATAACTCGGATCAATCGTGATGCACTTCGCTAACCTAACCTAACGAAAAGTTAATCCTACGGCTATGTTAAATACCCCAAAGTAACAGAAACATCGGTAATTATATCTCCTTTTTGGATAGGTGACTCTTTGGAATTTAGCGTTTTTCGCTGTTTATTATTTTAATATTTTGACTACATTTCAATGAAAACATTATTAATCAGGTTTTATTGATGTAAAACATATATTCGTTAAGATTTTACCCTGATTTAATATACTTTTGGGTACTTTTGGGTAATTCGTTGGACCGCTCCCATTATTTTTAGGCAGTGTATATTTTGCTGTGACTGGCCAAGTTCGAACTAAGGCTATTTTACCGTGAGTGCGCTCTGATTGGCTAATCGCCCATTACTGGCGAGCAACACGAGAACGATCTGTGACCGTTTCTCTGGCGGCATTTGGCATTTATTTCTCAGTGAGTTGAGGTGACATTTACTAGAACCTAAGAGAACCTACCTAATCTTACCCTACTTCCTAGTCAGGGGGTGGACCCCCCTTCATATTAAACAGAAAGTACTTAGCTAATCAGAACACAGTAAAATAGCGTAAGTAGGAACTTAGCCAGTAATGGCAAAATATCCACTACGTTATTTGGTAATTATATAGGACTAACCCGCGGCCGAAATTGATTGAAAACGATTATAAAAACGCCAGATTTTCACTGTTATTTTATAGTGGACACGGTTTTAGTTTGTGCAAATTTGTTAAAAAATTGATATTTTTAAAATAAACGTTATATGACATTTGTGGGTATGAAGGACAGACCTAACTGTAAATGATGGGTTGTCAGACCACAGCTTACATCTCAGAAACAGTCCAGACCTGACCCGACATTAGGGGGGGTCAAGTGTAAGGGTACCCCTCGCGGCTGTTCAAGGAGGTTACAAATCAACCAGATCCCTTCCATGTCACACGGCCCCAACAAATATGTAAGAGAGACACAGTCAGAAGGAGTCACCTGCCGACCCTCCCCCAATTTACACAATAACCTACAGTACATCTCAGACAAAGTCCAGAACTGACCTCACCTCACATTAGCCAGGTCAGATGTAACCCTCGCAGCCCAAGTCAAGGGGCCACAAATCAACCAGAGCCTCTCATGTCACACGGCCCCACCAACGATGTTAACAGGCAAGCATTCATCTGAAGATTTCTCCAGAATATACAACAACTTTAGTCTCAGAAAAAGTCCAGACCTGACCCTACATTAGCGAGGGCAAATGTAAGGAGACCCTTCGCGCCCCCCCCCGATCAGCTCAACCTGACGGCTCGTCTCCCAATATATAGGATGTCCTAGTCCTCCCTCAAGAGAGAGTGTCTTGTAACCAAGAAGGGCCAGCAACAACATCCCGAGTCCCGCTCGAGAGAAGTCAGACAGAGAGGGCCGGAGGCAAGCCGCCTCCGGTCGGGAGGACACCGGTGCCCAGCTAAGCAGTCTCCCATAGAGACAACCCAGGACCACCTGCTAGGCCTCCCCCAGGTCACTTGAGTTTTTGTCAGAGCTTTCCATGGGATGAGTTACTTACGTGGGAAGTGTATTCATTTCATGTTCGTGTCCGAGAATCAGTGTCTAGTAACGTAATATTATGTCCTAGTAACGTAAATATAATGTCCTAGTAACTTCGATAGAAGGTGTTATTAATGTGTCCATGTCATTGTTGTAATTAATAAACAGTTGTAACGAAGCGGTGTTTGAGAAGTCGTCCTTAAGAACGTAATAGATGTGTATTGACATATAAGATAAGATAAGTGTATTCACAGAGTAAATAACTAACACGGCCACGCTACCAAAATCTTCCTCTCTGTTACTCTCTTTCTAAATATTCTACCTATATATATATAAATATTCTTCATGCAAGATCCGTCTTGTTACATAACCAACTTAACCAAAGAAATCTACCTAACCTTACCTAACATTCTCACCGAAATTTGAGGCATTTTCTGGACGTGAGATGTATCGTTGCTTACTGAGCCAGGGCAGCGTATTGATTTGTTATTGAGATGGGAAACGCGAGCCACAGCGTTTATGAAGTGATGGATGATTGCTTCCAAACAACAACTGACCTAGCACACAAACCCAGTTCTATTTCACAGTATTGCTGTGAACAATACTTTCTACTTAGAGGAACGATGCAGTGGTCTTTGAAAAATTGAAGGGTCTCGTTATATAAGACCGGCGACAACCTTCACTCATGATGAAAATGAAACTGCCGCAGGGAAGAGACGAGACACCTCTCTTGAGCACTGCCTCATTACCGCTGGCAAGAATCGCAAGATAAACTAGTGCGCGCCTAGGCGCCTAATTATCCATGAAATGAACAATTTCCACAAGAAATGTTTATCATATCATAACTCACTGATGAAAATAATGTAAGAAAATAAACAGTAATGAAAATAACTCGTCGGCAGGTTAATCCTATATATTAACCCATTATTTTTACCCAAGTGCTACTATGTGCTGTATTTGCATTACTTTTACTTTGTGGATATTATGTAATTAACATACAGTAGTGAACAGAAGAATAATTGGTAATGTATGAGAACACAGCTACCACCAGAAGTTGTTTGATTTTGTTAATTTTTTCCACAGATGTTTGGGGGGTATTGTCATTTCGGTCTTGCAGCAAATTTTAGGATTTTAAGTGGTTTTTGATGTGTTTTGAATAACTTCCAAATAGGTGCATGACTGAAACGATAATTTTACCTTCTTTTCATTATAGTAAGTATTTTAAAAGAGGTGACATTTACTAGAACCTTATAGAACCCGACCTAACCAATAAAAAAACCTGGGTAAAAATTCGTTTTTATCTCAATTTCCCCAAATTGTATGAGAGATTATTTTCTAGTGTATTTTGGTGTTTTTTAATTGATTCTACATCTGATTTTTGTGGGAATTGGCCATTTTTTATTTTTTATTTATTTTTTTATGAGGAATTGAAAAAAATGGCATATTTCCACAGGAAACAACATTCAGAATCAAATTAAAATGCCAAAATACACCAGAAAAATAATTTCTCTTACCAAGAGACTAACCTATTGCCATGTAACTATCTGGGGTATTATCGTTTCGGTTAGGTGCAGATTACTACTCGAAATCGAAAAAAAATTTAGTAGTTAGCCTAACACAAAGGATAGCACAGTCTAAATAAATGTTACATTCATATCTAATAATGAAATCATACAGTAAATGTAACACTTTACCTTGAAAAAATATGAATACTGTATAACTTGATGGGGGATAAGGGTGATTTTGAGGTTGATAACATCGAGCTTCTCTTCAAGGGTTATAGCCTTTCTTTTACAATCATCACCAGGAATGCGATCACCAGAACTCTTCTTGGAGATATTCTTTTTTACCATATTCACAGTTAATACCACAAAATTGGAGAAATAGTAAGCAAAAATCGTGTTACAGCAAACAAGCGTTCGCGTTATACAAATATCGTTCCTCTATTCATAAATCGCGTTAGAGCCAATTTGTGTTGTCAAAACACGCGTTATAGCAGAACTCACTGTAGGTGCGCAACTGAAACGATAATTTTACCACCTAAAATACTACCCTAACCTAACCTAACCTAACCTATTGCTGTGTACCTATCCGGAAGGGGTGCGACCTAGCCTAACCTAAGCTAAAATATTGTTACGTCCCTCCATTCACCACTTACCCAGCTTCCACCACTGGTTACCAGTGGCTCGAGTCGCATGCACAGAAGCAGTAGATATATCACAAGTGTCATTGAATTATCACTGGCTGTCCCGCCAATCTCCGGTAATTTCTTGACGATCAGTATCAATGTAATGACAAACCACGTCACAGAAACACACTTGTGCACTGTAGTCCTCTTTAATAATCACTGATTCTTTACAACACTGTTAACAGGGTAATGTCTTCACAACTGGACTTCTCACTTTGAATATATAGTCAGCATACTACCAATGTATAATTCCTTAGTCTTTTCACTTTTCTATTGCTCACAACAGTTCCACAATAGTTGCACAACAACTATTATATTCTCCTAACTTTAGTCTGAGATATTATATAAGATAAAAACTGTAAGCCTAAAACCCTGGCTGGGCAGACGGGGAAGAGGAAGAGGGAGGGGGAGTTGGAGGTGAGGTGATACGTTTGACAGTTAGCGCCGAAGGTCTAGTGAAGTATTTATTTGTTTATTTCTGTCCTTTAGATTGAGTTTTTGTTTTTTTTTTGCTTATAAATTTCATAGAAGTGACCGGGGAGAATATAATTTACATTGCTGGAATTCTTATAAGATAGTGACTAATTTTAATGTAAACATGCAATAGTTTGCACTAGACTAAAATTGTAGTATTCATTTTGTACATTATTTTGATTACATGTACAGTTCAGCTTTGCCCTTAGGACAGTGTATGCATGTAAATGAGTTTCAATAAATGAATAAAGTTATATATATTGAGTCAAAAGTAATAGTTGAAAAACTTTATGTACAGTAGACAGAGCTTGGATGGCTAAATTTTAGAATGACCAATAATTTTTATATAAAAAATGCACAAATATTAAAGAGCACAATTTTATTGATATTTACTCCACTGGAAATGAATGTAAACATAGAAAAGATTACTGTACTGAATTACTGAATTGGCAGACAGCCCATCAGCTGATGTTCACAACAAAACGTTTGTATAGCGAGGGATACCTGCATTGTATTTTGGTATTTGAGGGGAAATTTGTGATACTGGTATTGATTTTCATTATAAATTTGCTGTCTTTTAATTTGTAAATGCAGTTTAAGAATGATGTACTTTCTACAGGTGTGTTGGTTGTGATGCGTGGTGGAGGGTGGGCCCGGGCAGTACGGGTGGTGGGCGTGGTAGTTTTGTTGTGTGTGGCATGGCTACAACTTGCACTCCCTCCGCTACCACATGATCCACAGTCTGTCCTCGGGGGTAGTGCTCGAGAAACTCCTGAGTTAGATCCAGCCCTCAATTTCCAACGAAACCCCTCTTCAAAGTTCCTAAAGGTTTGTGCTGTAAAATTTTTTTCATGTCATTCTTCATTTTAATAGGGTTTTTGGTGATATGCACCAGAAGACTTCTGTATGCTTTTTACACAATAGGCCTGTTATTCCATAAAATCTCTGCTGCACACTCATCTATACTGACATGTCTCTCATCTCTCATAGAACATAGAGTACTTTACTATTTTAATACTGGCATTTACCTTAAGCCAGACAGCTTTGGTAATACTGCACAATACTAGGCAACTTACCAGGGGATCCTGAAGTCCATCACACAAGTCCTCCAAGTATTAGCTTGGTTAATGTGTTAATCACTTGGACAGTCAGATACAGTATCTTTCCCTTCCCATTGTGGCATCAGCCTTGCATGACATATGCTGTACAGTAGAAGTCGATATAACATGAGGTACGTTCCAAGAGAGGGCCAGGGTTTGCCTCAGGCTGGTTATTGATGATGGGTTGAAGGTGGATTCTTTTTCTTTTTTTCATGATTAACTGAAACTCATGAAATATTCTTAAAAAATTGGGTTATTGGGGCTTTCCAGTTAACAATATAGTAGTCTGGTTGGTGAAGAATTCAAGGTTTTGGTATATGACAGGCAAAAAATGTACTGTATTGTGAGGAATATCCATCTAGTCATTTATTCATTTGCTCATTATCTTTGTCTTTCCAGTCTAAGACACAAACTTCAAGTTCCTCCTCTGGCTCAAAACTATCTGCTGAGCAAATATTGGAGATTCGTGAACAGATTCAACTTCGCAGTGGTAATGAAACCGTTTTAAATGAAGAGTTATTTGGACCAGTACAACCTGACACAATTGTTATTGCTGTCCAGGTAGGTACAACATTTATATATCGAGTAAAAACACTGGTTACTAACCGAGTTGTAAAAGGGACCAGACTTTGTTACTTAAGTAAAAGTATTGTTATATTGGCAAAATGTTACTCATGTAGAAGTATCCAAAGTTCAGTGTACAGTACTCAAGTAGAAGTAAAAATATCTCATTCATAAAGTACTAGTACTGAAAGTAAAAAATAACAACAAAATTATTAATTGTGTCAAGTATTAAAATAAATCTACAGTAAATTATAAAAGAACTAGTTTACTAAAGATAAAAATAAAACACACCTAACATTACACATGTTTAATTGCAAATATTTCTATTGAGAGTAATCAAAACCTGATTCTCAAAACTATGGCTGTCCAATTGGGATCTTTTAGGCCTTAATAAAAGCCCAGCATGACTAAAAAGACACTCACAAGCAGCAGATGCAGGTAGTAGGGTGTTAAGCTTAAGAGATAAGTCACATAATGTCAGGAAAGAACCCAGTAGCTCCATTCCATCCCCTGGGAATGCCAAGTCGCTATTAAACTTCTTCAGTTGAGGAATTTGTGGATGATTGTTGCCTCTGTAGCACCGAACAAGGAAAGGGTGGCTTGGGCGATTAAACTCTGTGTTCATCGCTTGGGTACATAGATGAAACGATATGAAAAAATACATGAAGAAATGCTTGTGATTGGTTAGCTTCGAAGTTTGTCCTGTGATTGGATTTTTAAAATTCTATTGTTTGGGGCATGTAACGAGTAACGATTTTTCTTTTTTCATTTATATTGGTGTAAAAATATTAGAAAATCATCCTTAAGTAAAAGTACTGACAATTTTTTAGTACTTTTTGAAAAGTAAATACTGTACCCAAAAATGTTACTTGAGTACAGTATGTATTCAAGTAAATTTACTTAGTTACTTTACAACTCTGGTTACTGATTTTAGCATGAGATGGACAAAAGAAATGGATTAAAATATGAGATTTGTGACCCACACAGCTGTATCTTCTGCTTTTATTGAATAACATTTTGTACATATTTAACCACATCCAGTAATCTATAGTTATTTCTCTCCCACAGACTTTGCCCTAGTTTGTTTATGACATGATATTGGCCATTCTTTCAAACTTGTTGCCTTCATTCTCAGGAACATATGTCATATTTGAAGTACAGTAGAAAGTCGATATAACATGAGATAGGTTCCAAGAGAGGTCGCTTTAAGCTGAATTCGCACTAAATTGAAGTGTTGTCTCAATGGAATAATTTAGTTTGGTACTTGAGAGAAACACAAAATACTAAAAAGACTGACGACTGTATTATTAAACAACGTCTTCCCTTGAAGAGGGTCATCGTGTTTCAACCCAAGTTTTAAGCTAAATGAGTCCTGAGGGACACTGCAGTACAGTACTTAACAGGGTGGTGTGGCGGTAAGATTAATAATACGGGCGTGAGAGTCTACCCAGATGCACCTCAGCCCATCTCGTAGAATAAACAAAACATTGGTTTTTGTTCTATTATGTTAAACCAAACACTCATAAATCAACACAGCTAAAATTAAGGGATGCAAAATGGTCTGTTTACTGGCTGGGAAGATGGGGGGCGGGGGGGGAGATGATATGTTTGACAGTTGATGCCAAGATCTAGTGCTTATTTATTATCTGTCCTTAAGAGTGGCTTTAAGTTTTTCTCTTATGAAATGTCATTGAACTGACATGGGAGAATATAATTAACATTGCTGGAATTTTTTTAAGATAGTAATTTGAATATAAACATGCTATAGCTTGCATTAAACATACAAATTTTAGTTTTAATTTAAGAACTTTATTACAAAGACCAAAATTTTTTATCTTTTGTGCAAAATATATGACGTTTGTATTCAAATTATTCGCTGTATAGCAAGGATTCCAATACAAATCATATTCTAACTTAAGTCTGTGACATTATATAAGATAAAAACTTAAAGCCTAAAACACCAAACCCTGGCTGGGGGGGGGGGAGTGACAGTGACATGTTTGACAGTTGGCACTGAAGGTCTAGTGAAGTATTTATTTGTTTATTTATGTCCTTTACCTTGAGTTTATGTTTTTTGCTTATAAAAAGTCACAGAAATGACCAGGGAGAATATAATTTACATTGCTGGGATTGTTATAAGATAGTGATTAATTTGAATATAGACATGCTATAGTTTGCACTAGACAAAAATTTTAGTTGTCATTTAGTACATTATTTTGAGCACATGTACAGTACAGCTTTGCCCTTAGGACAGTGTAGCATGCCGAGAGAAACATTAGGTGCAAAATTTTAAATGTGATGCGCCAGATTGACTCTTGTAAAATAGGAAAGATGGGTGTTGCTTTAAATCAATAATCTTTAATTGAATCGCTTTAAATCGACGTTCTACTGTACAGCGTATATACCTAACTTACCTCTAACTCTACTATTAACACACTGTTTTTGTGGGAAAATTTCCTCGATGCTGTACTTGTAATCATAGATCGCTTTAATAGATAAGATTATACCTTCCTCCAGTAATCTTCATTATTTGGGGTATGTGTACAGTCACTATCCAAAGTTTCGACATCCCCCCTGGCTGGGTGTTCGCCGAGGCCAGGGTTGAGGTAAGGCTGGGTGATCGGACGCAGACATTCCACCACCACAACACTCCGAGACTCACAGCACACGAGTATGGAAGGAAATTTTTACGAATTTTGATGTGACATGCACCTGAATAACAAAATTTCATTCATAACATTGTTAGCACACATAACAATAGCAAGTTAGGAGTGAGGCATGAGAAACTTGGGCTGTTCTCAACCCAGTTATGAAATATGAATATTGATAAACATCATGTGTTGATGGACTAAAAGTATAATCATATGCGTAACTAGTTGTAATATTGGTGATCTCTGTGCCATAACTCTCATGATCCGACACATTATGAAGTGAAATTTAAAAACTAACAGCAGCAGTAGACAGGAAACAAGGCAAGTGACCAAGAAGTTGTCACTAATGATGACACGCGGCCAGGCATCTACGCTGAGGGTCGAGGTCTTCGGCAAAGTCGCTGCTCCGGACCAGACAAAAATTGGTTGGGTGATACCATGATTCATGTGTAATTGCAACATCCCAAGCCAAAATACTCCAATGTAGTTAATGATACACCATTAAATATTGTAAACATGACTACATGAATTCCTAGTATGTGTAAAGTCATAATATTCCCTATACTGTACATGTATAGGCCTCACCTTGTCAACTGACCACTCACTCTCTCGACGAAATTCGGCCGCCGGCCACCCTTTATATATGCTGCCCTGATGATTCATGTGTAATACGAGGACTCGCATCTAGTGGTTCCAAGCCAGTGTTTGGCAAAGTTTTTCTTGCTCCAATCTTAACATGTTATTGTTATGTGTGGCAACAATGTTATGAATGCATTTGTTATGCAAGTTCATGCCATGTCAAAGTTCGTAATAAGTTCGTAATAAGTTCCTACCTGTGCTCATGTGCTATGAGTCTCGGAGTGTTGTGGTGGTGGAATGTGAACCTCACCATCGTAGTGCCTCATTACCACATTGCTGAACTAGTCTACATCCGATCACCCAGCCTTACCTCGACCCTGGCCTCGGCGAACACCCAGCCAGGGGGGTGTCGAAACTTTGGATTGTGACTGTACAAGTTTCTCTTTATCCATGAGAAGTGATTAAAGATATAACTGTCCAGTAATTGATTTAAACTTGTGATATTCATGAGTGAAATTCTAATAACAAAATTCAGCACTTATGTGTCAGAGTTCTTGTACATTAAAATAATGAAAATTTGGACATCTTGTAGTCTTCTGAGAAATAGATCCACATGAAAGGTGTAGGGATAAGAAATAAAAGTGAATGTTGATATCCCAATTATAATGTTTGATTATGCGGAGTAAATTTGCCTGTCCATTGTGGGTTGAACGAGGTAATTGCATCACACATTAGAAATTTAAGGACCTCCAATGTCTTAACACATCATGTACAGTATAGTGTACCTGTAGTGACATGTTTACTAACTTGATAGTTTCCATTGATGTAGAAGATTTATATGTCATCCATTATGCTTCATTTTAACGGTAATAGTTTTGTAAATACTGTAAGATTAATGATATATTGAACATGTTATGTGATAGGCATTTTTATACAGGTGTTGGCCATTATATGATGGGTTAGCGACCTCAAAAAGCCATCGTTAAGTGTTCGATCGTACAGTACAGTAAAGCCTCGAATAACGACGTTAATGTGTCCTCCAATATTGCGGTGTAAGGTGAATCGTCTTATCGCGAATCATTAATTGCCATTAAAATAAAGCAATAATAATGAGATGCATTCCCGAGTGTGACCTTTTCATATCTTTTGTGTGGCTTTTTACACTCTTTTCCCCCCAAACAACACAATTAATGAAAAGGAGATGGGACGCCATTGTTTTCGTAAGTGTTTACAGTCGGGAGTCCGGGATGATAGTTCTACACGAGAAAATTAAGAAAATAAGACCCTGGTTGTAGATGTAGTAAATTTAATGTAAAAACATGATGTATATATGTTTTAAGTAACGTTATTTAATATTAATAAATGGAACGATCGAAGTAGCTAACCACTAATAGCAAAGAAAAAAAAAGAGATGGATTGGGAACACCAACATATACTTGCGCATTTAAGGATACCGCGTCATTTATCTTAAGAATACCCTGTATGTACAAAAGATTCATTATTGTTTATTACTGAATACCCGGTATGTATTTGATTGAATTAATCTTTATATATGTGAAATGAACAATACAATTCATTGATACGTAGAATATTAAAACACAGAAGAGGATAAGAGACGACATTGTTGTCAGTGTTTACACTCGATGTATACGTGCGCACTCAAGGAATCATTTATCTTAAGAATATGTACAAAAGATTCATTATTGTTTATTACTGAATATGTATTGATTGAATTAATCTTTATATATGCGAAATGAACAATGCAATTCATTAATAATACGTAGAATATTAAAACACACACGAGGAGACAAGACGGGATTGTTTTTGTGAGTGACAATGGTTCTACATAAGAAACTGAAGAAAATAAGACCCTGGTTGTAGCTGTAGTGAACTTAATTTAAAAAAAAAATTGGATACCTGTATGTATGTTTTAAGTACTGTAATGCTATTTAATGTTAATAAATGGAACGCTAGGAGTAGCTAACTACTAATGGTAAGGAAATAAGGCGAGATGATTGGGAACGCCAACGTATGAGCAGTAAGTGCGCACATGTGAAAACATATCGTCATTTCTCAACATATGAATATGAAAGCAACACTTATTACTGTTCATATATGTTTTAAATAATATTTACGAATGTAAAACTAAAATTCTATTCACCAATGGCAGTAAAGTCTAAAACATAAGGTCAGCCAATGAATATTGTGCGAGTTTTTACTCAGATGACGAAATCAACAGGTTCAACTCTGGTTGAAGCTATAGCTTTCCATAAAGCTGTTGCTGAAACTGTTACTGAACCTGAAGTTGATGTTGAAGCTGCTTATGATGCTGAATTTGATGGTGTAGCTGAAGTTGATGGTGTAGCTGAAGTTGATGGTTTAGGCCTTCTAATAATAAAGCTCTCAAAAGAACCTTGCACAGCTGCTTTCTTTTCTCATTATACATCTTTATGTGAAGGTCATTTGCATTTATTTAAATTTTAATGATTTGTTCTGTTAATGCATCCACTTCAGAAAATGTGTTCATTGCTTGCTCCATATAATATCCACAGACCTCTCACCCTTTTCATATCGTTTTAACACATCTAGTTTCTCGGCTAAGCTTATACACTTTCTATTAGCTTTTGAAACAACACTACCATCAGTTGCTCTCTTGCTCATTTTGAATAGGGATGCAATAATGCTGTAAGAAACCTGAGAAAGTTTTTCTCCTGTTCCTGTTCCAGATGCGTGAAAACAAAAGGCCCGCCAAGCTCCGACTGTTGTTTACCACTCATTAGCCAGGCAGCTTCTTTGCGCAAGGCGCTCTTTATTTTTTTTACAGTATTTTTTTTTTATAATACATATCAGGATTTAGTTATTATTTATATGAAAATGTAATTTTATTTTATTTTTATTATATTTTGGTCGTAAATACGAATAAAATAAGGATGTAAACTGAATTGGGTCCTAAATTATCTAGGGTTTCAAATACGAAAATTTGTTGGTCGAACCGTTGTTATCCGAGGCTTCCCTGTACATAGATAGTAATATCTTATGGGGAAAAATAGGTTTCATTCCTGAGACCCTAAAGAGCTCAAACAAGTCTTATATCCTGCTGCTACAATGTCTAAATATCTCAAATAACTTATGAATAGACATGAAAACAATAAATTTATGCAAAATAAAGACAAAAGCAATAAAGATATACAAAATAAAAACAAAAACAATAAATTTACACAAAATAAAAATTTATTTTTATTTACCTTACATGACATGTACGTGCACAGTAATAAGTTGTGATCCCTCAGCTTTCATTACAAGTGGCAGCTGGAGGACTGCCAAGGTTATTGCACATCACTTTTTCATAGTGACAGTGCAGAAAAAGCACTGTGTGTGTGTATATGTGTGTGCGTGTATCGTGTGTGTGTGTGTGGGTGGGTCGGAGGGGTGGTATGTACGGTGTATCATTATGTGCTGTACTTCGATAAGTAAATTAAGCATTTCACTGACTGCCTCTCAGCAAGTAGAATCATTTAACAAAGTGAACACCTGTCTTTACTGTATATACATAATAGTTTAGATAAGGAAATTAATAAAAATATCTTATAAAATAATTTTGTTAGTATTTATTAGATTTTGTAAACAAATATTGGAGGCCATGACCATCATAAAACTGATCTGAACCATCACATGGCAGTAAATGGTGTCAATTTTATAATATCATAAAACTTACTGATTGTATATACAGCTACTCCCCTACTTACGACCTACTCGACTTACGACCACCCGGACATACGATCGCCTCAGTTGTACCAAAATTTTGTAAAATTACGTATTTTCGAGTCCCAACTTCAGTGATTGCGCTGTGTACTGACAAAATTTTCTTTGCACTTTAAAATGGCTGGCAAACTTAAAAGCGAGAGTTTTGTGGTGCTGAGAAGAAAAAGAGACACCCATTTTAGATTTTCTATGTACAGTATTATTTAAGCATTTTCGACTTAGACCATTTCGACTTACAACCTGGATTTGGGTCCCTAACTCGTAGTAAGTCGGGGAGCAGCTGTACTGTACTGTAGATCCATCATATAATGGTCAACATCTGTACGGTATACTTGAAGTTAAAGTTCTATAAATGTATATGGAACTTAGGATTGGGTGCTGTTGCAAGAGTCTTGTAATTTTTTTTTTATTACTACTGTTGAGTTTAGTTATAATTTTGTATACACCTAACATCTAATTAATTTATTCCAGGTGCACAATCGACTTGAGTACTTGCGGCACCTCATTGTATCCCTTGCTCAGGCCCGGGATATTGATTCTGTACTTCTGATATTCTCTCATGATTACTTTGATGAAGATATCAACCAGTTAATCACCACCATTGATTTTTGTAAGGTGAGGTGTTCTCTATATTAAATACTGTATATGCAGGTATCCCTTGCTTAATGAATGGGTTAGGTTCCTGGAAAGCCATTCATTAAGTGAATTTTCGTATCTTGCATAACAGAACTAATGGAAAAAATAAGGTTTGGTTCCCAAGAATAAAACAACAACAATATTATACCCCCAAAACATGAATTCGGTTCACAAACAACAAAAACACTAATAAAATACTATATAGATTCAAATATGTAGCATTAAAAAAAGATTAAATGAAAGTAACACAACTGCCAATTCCATAAGACACTGGCTGTGTGGCTTCAACATTCGCCATATCACACTGCCTCTGCTGACCTTTGGCAATGGGGCTCCCACACTCGGCTAGCCCCTCCTGCTTAGCATGCTAACTCTCGCGCACAAAGAAGTATTTATTCCTTTAATGTTTTTGACCTTATGATAGTTACTTCTTTTACTTTTTTGCTCATTTTGTATGAAGGATTGTGTGTGTATGTAACTGAGTAAATAAAGAAAGTGAAACAAGTTAAGTTTATCTATGCAAAACGATATGAATTTTTGCTCAGACCAAAATTTGTACAGTATAATTGAAAGTAGCTCTCGTTAAATAAGAAAGAGGACTTAAGAAATTTGTATAAGCAAATTTTTGTATCTCTAACGTTCATAAAGTGAGGGATACCTGTACTGTACTCCCATTACTGTCAATTTCTTTATACTGGATGTATTAAATATCTCATTTATCCTGGGAGCTCATCAACCCCAGATAATTTCTTTTCATTTTATTCGTGTCTTCCTTAAGTTATGTTCCTTATTTCCAGTCTGTCATCATTGTACACTTCTGTTATAATTAAAAGTGTCCTAGGAGAATAATATGTTAATGGATTGTTTTTCCCACATTTTCAGGTTATGCAGATTTTCTACCCACATTCACTACAAACTCACCCACATAGCTTCCCTGGGGAGTCACTAGGGGACTGTCCTAGAGACACTAAACCAGAGGAGTGAGTATTTATATATTCTTATTTATCATTCCACCACTTATTAGCTGTTCAGGTGGTTGGTATGCTTTTTGTTTGTACTGTACAGGAAGAAACCAGATTACTTAAGAGAAAACCTGCTATGTTTGGGTTTGGGTCACACTGGATAACGCTCTTCTCACTTCTGACCCGGGCCGAGGATTGAACCCAAAGATGTGTGCATTACTGCTTTGAATCCCCCTATGAAAGATAATTATTTATTTGGTTTGCTTTTATTGTCCAAATACTTTTTTTTTCCAGTGTCTGCAGTGCTCCTTTATTCTTAGTCTTGGTCAATTTAGTTACAGTGAAACTTTGTGAATTTTAGTGAGATTGGGGATGGAGATGACAAAGCACACATATTTTAGGACTTAACATCAAAATACTTCAATGGCTCAAACACTGGATATGTAAGCCTTTATAATACTGTAGTATGTTTTAGAGTATTCATTTACTGTATTTAGTTATACCCAGGCATTTGCTTACCAGAAATCAGAAGTCTTGAGAATGGAATGTCAAAATTGCTCTTTCCACATAAAGCCCAGCACAGTACTGTACTGCACTTCTCCCACTGTTGTACTGTGCAGGGTAACAAAGATAATTAGGGTAAGTTCCTGTCTATATAATTCTGACATGATAATTATGAGTACGTAAATGTCTCAAAAGGAATTGAACAACTCACGTACTATATGTAAGTTTTGTCCAATTTAGAAAGGTAAAAAAAATGAAGAGGACAATTTTAAACAGTTAATAGAAGCTTATCATCTGCAGATTTATTTTTTCCTGATTTCTTGAGGTCATGTACAGTACTGTGATCTTGTTACACCCAGACTTCACCATTATCTACTACAGCTTTGTACCAGCATCCAGTCAGTAAAGAACTGAACACACTTATCCTAACCCCTTGAGTTTGAAAGGCTTTTGCCCTAGAGAGAGAACATATAAATAAGTTCTATTATACTGTACATTCACTCACTGCAGTGGTTGGCCTGAAACTTATGTAAACAACAGCAGACCTTTTGTTTGTTCTTTCAGACATTCTGCCACCTGAAGTAGGGATGCTTATGCAACATATTTTTAAGCTACTTGCATGATTAGTGTTCAGATTCAAGAATGATTTTCAGGTAATTGTGGTACTGTATCTATTGAAGTTTGTCAGATTGGGTTACCTGATGAGTGTGGGGGAGTGTCTCTTTTCTGGTTAGCAAGTATAGATGTTGACTTGGCTCTTAACATATGGAATGATAAAAAAAATTTCAGGGGGTGTCAGGTGCATTTTAGTATGCTAAAGTGTTTGATATATTGATACCCTTACTCTTGAGGAAACCAAATTCAAGTATCCTAAACTCAGGCAATAATCTGACACTAAATGGAAACCAAGAAGTAAATTTAATATCGCTGAGCTATTATATATTTTTATTTCTAGAGCGGCACAAAGTAAATGTGTCGGCACACCAGACTTATACAAACACTACCGAGAGGCACGCTTCACACAGACTAAACATCACTGGTGGTGGAAGGCCAACAAGTAAGTTTTGTCACATGATTTAATTATAACTTCAAATTGTTTATTTAGGAGTGAAAAGTGGCTACCGGGTAAATTTTGCTTGAAGCTGTATTTCCATGGTTGCCATTTTACTCTTTATTTAATCAGAATGATAGTTTTCCTTGCGTTGTTCAGTTACTTTGACAGTGTGTGCGTGTGCAAAAGTTTTATTGGACTTTACTGTTATGTTACATGGCACAATTGGGGTGACGTGCATGTATCAATGTGGCTCTATTTTGTAACTTGCCACCTGTTTAGGGTGACCTTTGAATATGTGTGTGTGTCAAAGTTTACAAACATTCCTCCCAGTAAAAGCTTAGGTTATGTGTGACTTGATTTAACCCAAAGATCGCTTTTCGGTCTTGACAGCTGTTGCTCAAAAAATTAGATGTTTGAGGTTACAATAAACTCTTTAAACATGGCTGGTAATGAGTAATGTCACCAAGCAGCTCATCTTCCCCATTGAGCAGATTGTACAATAGAGAATTAGCTCCTAAAACTCAGAACTGCACCAAAATTCTATGCTGGCAAAAAGGGGATCTTGTTGGGTGTGTGTCATTTTCATATTTATGAGGAAAGAAAACTCCCAATTGACAGGCATGATGAATATAACTTGGAGATTCTTTTTTTTTCTGTCTCTTTCTTTTTAATAGATGGCTTCCACTTCACAGGTTGTCTCAAACTAGTACCAGTTTTTATATATACAGTGGGGTATGCTATAACAAACGGATTCTATTACGAATATTCCTATAACAAACGGTTTTACCTATAAAATTGAGAATGCTATAACGAACGCAACTCCTACAACGAACGCGGATGAATACGGGACTATTTCGTCTGGCGCATGAGTATTGTTGTACCGCGGCTCACAACAAGAGCGTCAGGCGCCATATTGGTTCATTGTGTAGACAGTGCACCACTGAACTTGTTGAAATTTCGTCTTTTGATGTGGAAATTCGTGTTATTTTTATAACTATTTTGTTATACCTGTGTACAATTGTAACAATGAATCGTCAAAAGCGAGTGAGAAAGCTAATAACCTTTGAAACTAAGAAAGAAATTATAAATAAACAGACAAAGTGCCTGTAAGACAGTCACCAAAGAGGGCTAGGAAGGATGACTCCTTTCCTTCCACCTCTTCTCCATAATTCTCTCCTCCCCCCTCCTCCTCTGCCTCCTGTCCTGTATACTAACAACACTAAGGTAAGATAAAGTACCGTATTTTTTACAATTTCCACAGAAATTTTTCAGTGTTAAGTGGTTGTATTTGGGGGCCTGGAACGGATTAATCCTATAACGAACTAATGCCATAACGAACGAGGTTCTAGAACCAATTAGATTCATTATAGCATACCCCACTGTATACAGGTACTCCTCGACTTATGACGTACTTGACATAAGACCACCCAGACATATGACCGCCTGGAAAATGTCCCCCATCCCTGGAATTTTCCGGGTAATGGAAAAATGTTCTTGGAAGTTTCAGAAATTACCCATTACATCATCTCTCGAATCCGAAAAAATATCCCCCATCCCCGTAATTTTCCGGGAATTGGGAAAATTTTCTCGGAATATTCCAGAAAATGTGCTTCTTGGAAAATCATTCCCAAAGCCGGAATTTTCCGGAAAACTGTTTTCCGAGAAAATCTGAATTCCGGCTATCGGAGATTTCCGGGTTTGAGGGATTCCAGCTAACGGAGATATTACTGTGAGGGAGTTGTTACTGTGAACTTGTTTTTTAACTTTGTCAAATGAAATGGATGGAGTCTTTGCTCTAAAAGGAGTAGTTGTACAGGGTCAGGACTCATCATCTCTCATGTCTTAAGAGCAAATTGTGACCTCTAATGTCTTATTTTGATAAATGGTTGTCACAGGTTGGCGAGCGATATTTGGATTACTTTCCCTCATATAGCATAAAGTGTTGGCATCATATTCATGAATTGCTCCTTACTGGGTATTTTTTTGCCCAGGTATATATAAGAATGTTTTAGAATAAAATATAAAACTTTTTCAGAATTTTTGATGATGTGTGGATCTTGAAGAACCACACAGGATTGGTGCTATTCTTGGAGGAAGATCATTATGTGGCTGAGGACTTCTTGCACATGTTGCGACTTCTGGCTGCTGCCATTCCCCGAGCCTGCTCCAAATGTTCACTCATTACTTTAGGAAACTATCTTAAAAATTATAATTTCCACACCGATGCAAGAAAGGTCTTGTAATTCTGTTCATAATATAAGGCTCTTAACAAGTAGGATTGTTTTAAACAATGAACACAAAATTAGGAAGTCTTAATTTTGTGTTGGTAGACTGTAGATAGTAACTGCCTGCACGAGAAAAATGTTGGTTTTAAAATACTTCCTCCGGTAAACTTAGAACTACAATAGAGTTGTGTTTGCAATCTGTATCACTTTCAGTGTGACCCATGTACAGTCACTCCAAAGGGTATCTTTACGATTTTGTGAGATAATATGTTACAACTGATGAAGGATTTTGACAACCCTACCGAGACAACAGAAGCTGCAGTGTTCATTTTGAAATTCATCGAACCCCTCCGTAAAGATACCTTTTGGAGTGATTGTACCTTCAGTTAATATACCCTGTATATTTTTTTAACAACACAGGTATCCCTTGAGATACGAATGGGTTAGGTTAAAAAAACATTTGTTAGGCGAATTTTCATATCTTGAATAGAAAAACATAAGGGTAAAATAGGGTTCGGTTCCCAATAACAAAAATACTCCAATATCTTACCCCAAAAACATGAGATTGGTTCACAAACGAGAGAAAAACCTACTTAACTAATGATAAATATTACATAACTAATGTAATTTAGTACCTAACACATTAAAAACATTAATAAAATACTATCAAAATGAAAATATGCAGCTAAAACTATTAAGGAAAAGCTAAATCAAAGTTTAACACAGCCGCCAGTGGCGCCATTTGCATAGAAGCTGGCTGCTTTACGCATGACTGCAGGGCCGGCTCCAGCTATTTGGGGTCTGTGTGGCTGCACACCCCTCCTGATTACAATATATTTGTTGTTTAGTAGGATTCGTATTTCAATTCCAATGTGTTGTGTGGCTTGCGCATCTCAAAACTGCAGGAGATTGCATTTCAGCCATATATATATATATATATATATATATATATATATATATATATATATATATATATATATATATATATATATATATATATATATATATATATATATATATATATATATATATATGTATGTATGTATGTATGTATGTATGTATGTATGTATGTATGTATGTATGTATGTATGTATGTATGTATGTATGTATGTATGTGCTGATAACCACAAGGAAAGAAGAAAACACGAAGTTCCCAAGCGCTTTCGTGCAATTCACATCTTCAGGGGTGAGTACAGACTAAGGATAAGTACAAAACAAGTTATATATATACACAGGAGGGTGAGATCAAGTCCACAGTGGTCAGGTATAGGTAATGACCCTACTAATCTTCACAAAAGCACTACAGTGGTCAGTGGTCAGGTCAGAGGGTAAGCTGACCCAACCTTCTCACCTGGTTACAAATCTTCTTTGTGTTTACTTTTTCCTTGTGGTTATCAGCATATATATATATATATATATATATATATATATATATATATATATTCTCATACAAATATTATCAGCATATATATATATATATATATATATATATATATATATATATATATATATATATATATATATATATATATATATAATATAATAAAAAAATCAGTAATGAGGGGGTGCCTCTTTTTCTTCTCAGCACCATGAGAACTCTCACTTCTATGCTTGCTAGCCATTTTAAAGGGAATTACAAATGAAAATTTTGTCAGTACACAGTGCGATCACTAACGTTGGGACTCGAAAATACGTAATTTGAAAAATATTTTATACGACTGCGGCTGTCGTATGTCCGGGTTGTCGTAAGTCGAGGAGTACCTGTACTGTAGGATTGTATGTGCATGTAACTGAATGAAAAATATGAAAAAGTAATGTTTATGTACCCCAAATCTGTTTTAAAAAATAACAATAACCTAACTCCTACTTCAGCCTGGTAAGGAAAGTGCTAGGGGGATGTGGCTGCCCCACTGCCCCAGCTGACTCCTGGGGGCACGTGATTTGAATTTTTACCAAGACCCAAATTTGTATAAGTGGGAAAAGGTTTCATAACACCAATTAGAGGTGCATATTTAGCAAAAAATTTGTATCTCAAGGGATACAATAATGTCTTCAATATTAAAATTAGTGAATAAAATTGAATAATGAGTGGGAAGTGAGGACAACCAGTAGGGGATGATGGAGGCTGCTGATAGGAGTTACTGTCTCATATGTATTTGTTGCTTTTGAGGTTAATCATGTTTTTGGCTATTTATAATGTTTACCGATTTTTCTAGAAAAAATGGAATTTGATTATTTTGTTTCTTTGGATCCCTGTACATACATACATTTTTTTTACAGCTGCATATGATTGTAGACTTGGACATAACATATTTGTTGCAGGTTGAAGTGACTCAGTGGGTGTCATCAAAACACAACATGGGATTTGCCTTCAACCATAGTGTGTGGCAGCAGATAAAGGCTTGTAGTACTAAGTTTTGTGATCATGATGACTACAACTGGGACTGGTCACTGCTTCATGTCAGTAACACTTGTTTGACACAGAAGCTGCACACACTTGTTCTTCGTGCACCTCGAGTCTTCCACATCGGAGAATGGTAAGCAAAGAATCATTGCATGAGGTTGTTTTAGGCGAAAGTGATGAAGCCAGTTTACTAAATTTTAGCATTTTATAACAACCATTTTGTTACTCAACAATTATAGAACATTATAACTTCTTCTTGATAACTTATTTTAGTCTGCATTTCCTTTTGAATGGCCCCTCATGAAACTCTGATCATCCACCTAAAGAAAGCCAAAGTTTATATACATTTGTTCCAGATGATGATATCCTCCTGTGCTTTACACCTAAGGCATATAAACTATATCCCAGTAATGTTAACTGAATTCAGAGTTTCATCCTGATCTTTTTATTCTAAAAAGAAAAAGATTGACAGTGGTTTGTATGTTACCAGGTTAACACTCTTAGATACCCAAGTATTTTGATGGTAGCATACCACTGCTCTATATAATTGTGTATGGCTGTGTATCTTACCTAAGATTTTGATTAAGATTAGAAATTTTATAAAATTTGAATGATCCTCTTTTGTTTACTATATAATATGTTCATATACAGTATAGGCAATATTAGAGGGCATTCACTCTCATAAAAAGGGATTTATTGAAATATGAATGGTGAAAAGTGATGATAATCAACTATCACATGGGCATCTCATTATTGATTGGTGTAAATCAATCTTAATATAGTTCTCTTAATGTTTTCAGTGGTGTACACCATAAAAAAAAGGATTGCAGCTCCCGTGCAGTTCTTATCAAGGTGCATCGAGCATTGCAAGCTGGACAACGCACACTTTTTCCACGTCAGCTTGTGGTTGTTCATACTCCACCAAAAAAGGTATATACTTCTTCACTGATAACATTCAAAGTAACATTACTAATCAGTAGCTTCGTGCATTATTTAACACTTATTAGAAGGGTATGGGAAGATTTTCTGATAACTTACTGTAAAGTCACATTCACTCTGTGTTTGTCATTTTAGATTCCAGATATGTTATCACTTTTTAATTGAATAAAATTTTCAGGTTTAAAGCATGGTGTTAAGAAAATGTTAAATTCTACTGGTTACCAAAATTGTGGTTACAGTACTTTTTTATCCATGTATAAAATTTGTATGAAACTGGTTTTATAATTCCTAAAGGAAGTAAAGTACCAATATCTTGAAGGTTTGTCTGAATTTCTGTAAGAATTTTGATGTGTGAATAATAATACAGGAATACCCAGGTTATTGCAAAGGTTGCATTCCTAAAAGTCATTGCAAAAAACAAATTTCCCTGGAAGAATTAATGTAAATGGGGAGATATGTTCCCAGCCGGCAATTTTCACCACATATTTTTCAATATACAGTCTCTCCTCGACTTGCGACGTGGTTCCGTCCCGACGACCAGGTCGTAAGTCCAATTGCTCGTAAGTAGAAAAGGCGAAAATAATACATAGAAATTCTAAAATGGGTGTGTCTTTTTCTTCTCAGCACCATGAGAACTCTCACTGTTACACTTGCCAGCCATTTTAAAGGGAATTACAAACGAAAATTTTGTCAGTACACAGCGCGATCACTAACGTCGGGACTCGAAAATACGTAATGTGAAAAATGTTTTATACAACCGTGGCCGTCTTATGTCCGGGTGGTCATAAGTCGAGGAGAGACTGTACAGGTACACTCATGCTGTAATGCAATAAAATAACTACAAGACTGTACAGTACTATAAAAACCCTACAAAAAACAGTGTGAGTGTGCATGCATAATTCAGTGCTTGAGTGAGTATGCATGCATGAGTGAGTGTGCATGCATGAGTGAGTGAGGTTGTGCTCCTAGGTGACTTCAATGCCAGAGTTGGCAGAGATGCTGACATATGGCAAGGAACCATAGGGAGAAACGGAGTAGGTAAGTGTAATCCCAACAGCTTACTCCTCAGCAAGTGTGCTGAACACAATCTCACCATCACCAACACCTTGTTTAGGCAGGCTGACAAGTTCAAGGGTTCTTGGCAACCCCCACAATCCAAACATTGGCATCTCATTGACAACATCATTGCCAGAGAAAGAGATATCTGAGATGTCCTCATCACCCAAGCCATGCATGGCTCAGATTACTGCGACACTGATCATCGTCTTGTCAGAACTAAGTTCGCACTTCATGTCGCCCCAAAACAGCGAAGACAACAAGCCTCTAGAACAGGCCTTAACACTAAGCGACTGGACGATCAAGCAGTAGCACATGCTTCCTGAGAGCAGCTCAACGATGAGCTGATAAACAACCCAACAACAAACAACCAAAATCCAGTTGCCGAATGGGGTCCCATCAAAGCTGTCATCACAAAACCCTGCAACAAGACCCTCGACCTGATAAAAAGAAAATACCAGGATTGATTTGATGAAAACAACCCGAAAATCAAAGTACACTGGACCCTCACTTTATGCAGCTACCTTATTTCTATCCACAATTCATTTATGCAAGAAAGATTCCCTATTTTGCATTCTGTAGAAAATATGGAGCACTAGTTTTACAGTATATTATATTATGTTTATTTCTAAGCCACATTAGAGTATTTTAATGATTTTCTACATATTTTATAGCATTACTGCTCCAGAAAGGGTTGTGAAACGTAGTACAGTATGTGTGCATGCATGCATGCTTGCATGCCTGTTTGTGTCTACTGAGCTGTATGTAATGTCACGGGACTTGGCTGGAGTAGTGAGTCAGCCACTTCACACACTTTCACTTTCCACACAAACACCCATGCTCTTAGTGTATTGTGTTATATTATCTTTATTTCTAACCAACATTGGAGTACTGTAATGATTTCCCCAAAACTTTTGTAGCATTACTGTTGACTTTTAGTAGTTGTAGAACGTACCCTAATTTTCCCCATGAGATTAAGTACCATATTTTGCGGCATGTAAGATGCACCGGCGTATAGGACGCATCCTAAATTTAGCATGAAATATGTTGGAAAAATAAAATTGAGGGGAATTTTAATGTTGTTACAAAAAATTTATTGCCACTATTTGTAAAAAGAAAACATTCATTCCAAAACATGCCAGTATGTACTATCGTAACGTTACCAAAACAAAACAAAAATGGCTGCCAGGTGGGTAGACCGTTGTTCCTTTGTTTGTTGAGCATTAGCCGGTAATTGAAGCATTTCGTGCCTCAATGAAGATTTGTTTTATTTTATAAGGCAGTTACACGTTTATACAAGAAATATAACACTGGTTATTGGTGGGAAATCTGTAAACATCAATGACAACGAGTGGTTTGCCTGACCACTGTCGGCAGTTTCAAGAATTATCACAGTCATTTACTGAATGCTCCTTGTTTATTTATTATTGTTTTAATTGTTCTCTTTGTTAAATGGAATTATTCTTGTTATATACCATATACAGTGGTCCCTTGGTTAACAAACGGTTCGGATAACGAAATTTCGGTTAACTAATTACCTTCCATAAGAATCTTCAATTCGTTTAACGAACAAAAATTCGATTAACGACATCCTTACGAAAACAAGTCAACATGTTTTGGCTTGCTCACCAGCTGGAAGATTAGTCCGCCAATACAGTAATCGGTTCTAGGGCTTACATTCGTTTCCATTGGAGTAAATATCAAGAAGGTTGTGCTCTTTAATATCTTTGCAAGTTTTACCGGTATATTAAAATTATGAGTCATTTTAATACTTATTTAACATAATTGCAGTACAGGGAACTAGTTTTTGGTGCGCCCATCAGCCAAGGTGTCTGTTTAACTCTCTCTACAGTGGAGGAAACATCTTGCTTGTGGATCTCTTGAACACAGAGTATTTTTACATTTTTACAGTACAATTATTGGTCATTCTGAAATTTATTTAACTTATTGATAATATATAGTGCAGTGTTGATTTAATTAAAATAATTTTTAATTACAGCTAGTGAACTTTAAACTTTCGTGGTGAAATTACTGTATTGAATCCAGCATGGGTCCAAAGAAATCTAGAAAGGCGATTTCAATTCAAGTGAAACAGGAAATCATTAAGAAACATGAAGAGGGCATTAGAACAAATGTGTTTAGTAAAGAATATGGCATGTCGGCATCAACTGTGTCGACAATTCTTGCGCAGAAAGACAAATTTAAAGAAATTAAAGTGAGAGATAAATCTACCAGAGTGTTTAAAGGTAGATCATTAATTGCAGAAACAGAGAGGTTATTTCTTATTTGGATTAAGGAAAAACAAATGAAAGGAGATTCAATTTCTAGTGAATTTATTTGTGAAAGAGGCAGGGAAGTATACGAACACTTGAAGGAAGAGCAACTTAGTTCTTCTGAAACTGAGTTTGAAGAGTTTAGAGCCAGCAAGGGCTGGTTCGATAAATTTAAGAAAAAAAGTGACATTTTTTGTGTTGTTAGGCATGGTGAAGCTGCCAGTGCAGATAAAGAAGGAGCAGCAAAATTTGTAGTGGAGTTCAAGGAACTGATGGATGAAGAAAATTATCTTCCACAGCAAGTGTTCAATGTGGATGAAACCTGGCTGTTCTGGAAGAAAATGCCCAAAAGGACACTCATCACCAGAGATGAAACTTCCTTACCGGGGCATAAACCCATGAAGGACCGTCTCCCTCTATTGCTTGGTGCCAATGTTTCAGGGGATTTCCGACTGAAGCCCATGCTTGTTTACCACTCTGAAAACCCCAGGGTGTTCAAGCAACAAAAGGTGGTAAGAGGACAACTTGGTGTTTATTGGAAGTCCTATCCATAAGGCATGGGTAACAAGAGAGCTCTTTAATGAATGGGCTGTTGAGGTGTTTTGCCCTTCTGTGAAGAGCTACCTAACCACCAATAAACTTCCTTTAAAGGCTCTTCTCCTTCTGGATATTGCCCCTGGTCATGACCCTGAACTTGCCAGCACTTTGGAGGCTCGATTTGACTTTGTCAAAGTGTTGTTTTTGCCTCCCAACACTACATCAATTATGCAGCCAATGGACCAGAATGTAATCAGTAACTTCAAGAAGCTGTACATGAAGAAAATGTTCAGAAGGTGTCATCAGGCAACTTCCACTGAACCTGTTCTAACACTGTCACAGTTCTGGAGGATGCAATACAACATCCTGGAGGCTGTAAAATTGATCGTGTCATCATGGCAAGAAGTCTCCATTTGATCCCTGAATTCTGCATGGAAAGCACTGTGGCCAACAGCAGTCCATGATTTTGAGGGATTTGAGGAAGAAACAGAGTTGGACAAGGAGATTGTGTCCATTGGTCAGTCAATGGGACTCGAAGTGGAGGAGGATGATGTTGAAGAGCTTGTGATGTCTCATGAACAGGAACTTACTCCTGAAGATTTGAAATAACTGGATGAGATGCTAGAAACAGACAGTGGTGAGGAGGAAAAGGAAATTGATGACTATATGTCTTCCAATTTAAAAGATGTTGTTCACTAATGTGAGATGTTCAGGAAACTGGCTTCCAGGCACCCTGATGTGGAAACAACAGAATTTATTTTGTGTACTGTTGAGGACAAAGTGGTCTCCTTCAAAAACCAGTTAATGATCAGGAGAAATGCCCCACAACCAAAAATTGACAGTTTCTTCTCTAAAAGGCAGCGGGAGAAAGATGCTACCCCTCAGCCTTCAACTTCAAAAAGGAGAAAGGATTTTCCTGTTGGAGAATCTGTCAGTCCAGAGGTTCCTGACATTATTATGGAAGGTGACTTGCCTTCCAAGAAGCAGTAAAATGCTTCTCCTCCACCCCCACTTCCTTCTCTTCTCCCTTCTCCTCTTCCACCTCCCACTTCAAATTCACATCAGCATCATCAACCAGGAGCCTTCTATACAGTATACACACCTCAAAGTAAGTGTACTTTACTGCATTTTTTCTTTACTTTGTATGTATTTTTCGGTGAGCTGGAAACAATTACCCAAAATCCCATTGAAACAATGGATTCGGCTAACGAAATTTTCGGTTAACGAACGACCCTCTGGAACGAATTGTGTTGGTTAACCGAGGGACCACTGTATATTCATCCTGAAGTTGTTTGGATTCTTAAACTAGGGGGATGCTGAGATCCCAAGCTGGACCCCAATTCTGACCTTTACCATATTGGACGCAGGGTGATTTGAGGGTAAAATTTTGAGAGAAAAAAGCAGGTCCTGTATGCCGCAAAATATGGTATTCACTACTGTATAGTCTACGTTCCATCCTCCGAGTTCACTGGGAAGACGAGAACAAATGCCAGTATTCTCGCTGACACCAACTGTTGGACCATCAAGGCTACCATTATCCATGAACAACTATGTTAGACTGGCCATGTTACCCGCATAGATAACAGTTGACTGCCAAAGCAGCTACTTTACAGTTATCTAATGAATGGCAAATGTAATGCTGGCAGACAACGGAAAAGGTATAAGGATAATCTTAAGACAAACCTGAAAAAGTGCCAAATCGACCCCCTTACGTGGGAAATGACCACTCAACACCATAATGCTTGGAGGGGCACCACAAGAGGTGCCAGTACTCTACTTTCAAATTAGCATGACTGCATACCAAGGCAGACAAGTGCCAGTGCTGGAAAGACGCTGCTGCCACCCCTCCTGTACTAGATGTAGCCCTTCACACGTGCAACATCTGTGGACGACCCTGCTGATCCTGTATCGGCCTCTTGAGTCGCTTCGGAGCTCACCAATGAAGGCGACATCTGTCATATGAATACACAACAAAAACACTTCACTGTGCAGCATGCTTGTTCCACCGTGCACTAACTTCTAACAGCAGAATATGAGAGCTGTGGCTAGCCAACACGGTTTTAAATACAGAATAACTGTAACATATAAAAAAAAAAATTTGCGAATCATCTGGTATGCTTTGCGAATTTCGAATAGGGGTGTTAAAATATTAATTGCAAATAAACTGGGTTGTGAATAGCAAGGTATTCCTGTACAGTAGTTACACTTATGAATACCATAAAGTATCAGGAAAGAAAAGAAGCATTTGGTTTAAAAAAAAAGCCATTTGGTTGTGAGATTGGAAATATACTTGCTACATCTCAGATATTCGAATTGAGAAGCAAATGGGTTATTGATGTCATGATTTTTTCTTGTTCCAGGTTAAGAAACATAAAGGCAACGGTGGTTGGGGTGACAAACGTGACCATGCCCTCTGCCGATCATTCAGTGTATCAACCTCCCCGGATAGCAACATAATTAATAGCCTAGTCATTATGGGTTCAATGGTCAGTAATAGCTCAATAAACAGCAGTACACTAGTCAGAAGTGGCTCTTGATTATGGTATTGCAAAATTTTTATACTGATGTAGATGAGGCAAGTTATCAGTGAAGGTGACCTTGAGCCCAGCTCCATCACTCGTATACAATTCTTTACATACTTTACAGGTCCGTATCTCTCTTTATCTTTGTCCATACAAAAATTTATTTAATTGTTCTCTCCTGTGGGTGAAAGGTTCAAGGTGGCTTCACTAATGAATTTAGTTTTAATGAAAGAAACCATATAATGACATGGTACCAGATATTCTCGACAATCGACATGGATACAGCTGCTCTGATTAATGAGTAGTTGTCCATTAATATTTGCTGGCTTATGCACAACAATATTTTAAAGACATATTCATGTAAAGTTCATATATAACTCCTGAAGCTAATTAATCATAATGAGTATAAACAGTAACACTACCCATGGATGCCAAAGCATCTTGCTTTTAAAATGTTTTCTTTTCATAATTGGTTGACAGTGTATCAATTGGAAACTAATTTTGTGATTCTACAAATATCATCAAGACGTCATGTACGAAGCAGTTAGGATATGTAATTTTTATTATATATTCTTGTTGCTCATAAAAGGTATACAATATTGAGATTGTAAATTTTCATTTTTAATGCATCAATGATGTATTGTTTTAACTTGGTTTTAAATCATGTGTAGTAAGTTTTATGCATATTTTAGATTTTTTTTAATTTTTTTTATTAAATCTGCTGCTGTTTGTGCTTTGGAATAATGTGTCAAAACAGTGTACACTTCTTTTTAATGTATTGTGTAATGTATGTGCAAACTGTAAAACATAGCCTGCTTTTATATATATATATATATATATATATATATATATATATATATATATATATATATATATATATATATATATATATATATATATATATATATATATATATATATATATATATATATATATATACTGTATATACTTTGCACACATGTGGATACAATCACAAGGACTGTAAACTTACACAGGCTTCTTCTAGAATGTTTATCTCTGTAAAACATAGCCTGCTATATATATATATATATATATATATATATATATATATATATATATATATATATATATATATATATATATATATATATATATATATATATATATATATATATATATATATATATATATATATATATATATATATATATATATATATATATATATACAGTATATATATATATAATTTTTTTTTTATATGCTGTGCTACAGGTCATAGGTCCTGCTATACTGTGTACAGTATAAGACACATTGATGGGTGCTTACCTTATAGTAAATGAAGTTGAAATAGTTGAACCTTTGATGAAGACTTATCATTACTTCACTTGCTTAGTTTGCATTCTTTCAAACTGTGATGTTTAGGTGTGAAATGGAATTGGTTTTAGAAGTGCACATTTATCCAAACAGCTTTCATAAAAAGTACTATAATACATAATACCAATGTTCATGAACATGCTGGTAAACTGTCAGCTGTTGTCTTGTGTGTTATCATTGAATATATGTACAATAACAAAAAAGGGAAGATCATATCTACTCAGTACTTTTCTCAACAGAACGCTCTTAATTCTTACCATATTAAACACATATTTACCTCATAGCTCAGATAATTTAAGCTTTAGTTTAATTTTTATGACACAGTTTATAATCTTTCCCAAACAATGTCTGACATTTCTTATAAGTCTCAAGTAGGTTTTTGGCACTTAATAATCTGTTGGGACTGAAGAAGAATGACTGAGCACTACTATGTGCTAATTATTACTGTATTTTGATTTTGTTGTCAGAGATTTGATGAATTTGTTTTTATCTATCAGTATTTGTTTTATGTGATGACTTAGTAGGTTATTTGCTTTGTAAGTTTTAAACACAAATTCACCAGTTCTGTAATGTATAGCATTGGATGCTTTTGGTAAAATTGGAGATCAATGTTTTAATTTACTGTTGAAGAAATTAACAATGCTGTACTAGCATGACAGAAAACATGAAAGCATAATGGGTCAGTGAGGAGTTTTTTCACTTGGGGTGTCACAAGCTTTCTGACATTACAGGATCAGTACATGAGTACATGGTGGCAGGAGGTTTGCAGTTACTGACTAAAACATACTACAGTACTGTACTCACAAGGCCCAGATCTCTAGCAATTACAGTGAATCATTTATTGTGACTTTACTATAGTACTCCCAAATATTAAGTAATATAATAATTTAATCACAGTTAATTATAGGTTCCACTTGAACTTGCTCACTCAGTCATTGAAATACCAGAATATTGTTATCCGATACAGAGAAGCTTTTTAAGGGATAAGAAATTCACTCGGCAATGTAACTGAACCTAACTTAAGTATGTTTGGTTAGATTTGTTTGATGTTATTTACTCAAAAGTAATTTTTTTTCTCAGGATTAAAGTTAGGTGTGGCTAAGTTTGATGACGTGAGACTTTTAAACCTTCACAGATCATGGTTCATTTCGTAAATTCTTTTGATTTTTAAAGTTTGATAACCAAGCAGTTAATGTGCACAATTATTGACTCAAATTTTCCTAAACTCTTTTTTCCTGCCTGTATCTTTTTATACAGTAATATAGCAGTCTGGCCACTGCCAAGTATGGGTAGTTGTTTATTATGTTGGAATTGCTTTACTAAACACTGAAGAGTCAGAGATAAAGAAAAAACACCAAAGTGGAAGAAGTCATCAATGTTAAAGGTTGGCCTGCTGTACACTGGTCTTGCATTAATTAAAGGAGTACTATAATGGTAGATTTATGGCCCTGCTTATAACACCATAAGTACTTTATGTGGCATCCACTTTGGGACTTTCGTGTAACTACACAAAGCCCTTGAATAATTTACACAAACTGTTTATTGGCACATAGCATCTTCCTGCTCAAAGTCACTCAGTACTGGATGTGAGATTGAAAAGTTTGTATTACCACCAAGTGGGAGAAAGTGTATACATCGCCCGTTAGGAGAGGCTTGTGTTTTCTATTTATATTAAAAAACAAACACTAATTACACTTCATATAACTATGTACGGCATTAATTTTAAGTAAATGAAAAAAGACAATTCTCACTTCAAACATTTATTAGTGAGAGTCATATAGTGCTTAAGGTTTTGGAAGGGAAGGTTGGAGTAATATAGCACTTGTTTAGCAGACAAGTCAGTGTGAGGGTCAAATGCAGTATAGAATTCATAAACGTAAACCTGCATATCTTACACTATATTTAAGAGATGATATTTTGCTGTTTACGTTATTTTTAATATATTTTTTGAAAGCTCTATTTATGCATAATTTATCTATTGTTGAGTCATTAATTTATTTGCTTAAAAGAATCTTATTTTTAAATAAGATGGTACTTGGTCTACTTGCATAATTACACAATTACTGTACATGTTACTTAGGCACACACACACACACACACACACACACACACACACACACACACACACACACACACACACAGGGGGTCCCTGGGTCTCTGATTTACAATCGTCCAACTTCCAAATGCCCACCAATACGAACGAGGTCCCATAATTGTTAAAAGTCCGACCTAAGTACAACTGGTTCGTAATATTTACATTCAAGAACTAGTTTGCTTGGCGTAGAGGGGAGGCAATGCATGGGGAGTGATGCGTCGTGCCCAGCCACACACACCTTGAGGGAGCGTCAGTACGCTTTATCCTCACCACCTTAATGTGTGTGATCAAGTGCAAACTGTTGTTTTTTATTCATTAACTCTTTTTTTTTGGCCTTCATCATGGCTCCCAAATGCAAACCTGATCCAAGTGATAGTAGTGCATCCAAGAAAAGGAAAACAATTGCAATGGAGGTGAAAGTTCATGTAATTGAACATTCTGAAAAAGGCAAAACATGTAAAAGGATCTACACCAATGCACTCAACTGTGATAACATAACAAAGAAGTGGGTTGTTAATTGAAATGGAAAGATTGTTGGTGATATGGATGGAAGATCAAAATCGACAGTATTTGCCTTTAAGTCTAGCCTTGATTCAGGAGAAATCGAGAAGCTTGCATGCTGACTTGAAGGCTAAATGTGGTGGTGAAAGTGGTGGGGAAGATTTTGTTGCTAGTAAGGGCTGGTTTAACCAGTTCAAGGTAAGGGCAAATGGTGTTTGGAAAAATCACTGCCCACAGTTTGTCTACGATTTCAGGGGCTTTGAAAATGATGTTGGGAAGTGACACAGACAGAGGTAGACCTTGATATTCATGAGGATGATGCCACACAGTTGCTTGAGTCTCATGCTGAAGAATAAAGCAGTGAGGACTTGATTGAACTGGAGAAGCAAATTTTGTCAGAGGATGTAGAGGAAGCTGAAACTACAGAACCAAAGGGATTCATTACAAAAGAAATGCCAGAAGGTTTTAGTCTTATTGAAGAAGGATTATTTAAATTTGAACAGCAAGATACCAACAGCAAGATTCATAGAGGTATTGCTGAATACAATATCTACAATGCCACAAAGAGATTTATGAAGGAAAGAAGAAAGTTTCAGTTCGACCATCCCAATAAAGCCTCTGCCATTCCCACAAATGCCCATCTCTACATGCAAGCCAGCCCCAGGTTCAGTGTAAGTGTTAAACATTAATGTTTAGTTTCCTTTACTGTATTTTGTCATTCAGTTACTTCTTTTCTTTTAAATTAAGTGATTCAAGATATAAAAAAAGGACTTAGGCTATGATATAGTGCACTTAGGGTATGTGTTCAGACTTGTATACATTTTGGACTTAAGAACGTCTTTAGGAACGGAACTCGTTTGTAACCCAGGGACCCCGCTATGTGTGTGTGCATGCGTGCGTGCATGTGTGTGTACTATTTATTTATTTCATTTAGAGGGAGCTCCTCTAATATTTTTGTCTCTAAAAATGTATTCTTACTGTATATATTTGGGCTATGATTTGAGTATATCAGTTGACATATTTTATCTAACAAATAAATATTTATGTAAAGAATGACCATTGGTATCAAAAGTGTATACTGTACAGTACAAGGCAGGAAGTAAACAATTTAAGAATTAAGGGGAGAGTACGGAAAGTTCTACATCTAGTCATCAAAATCTACAACACCAATGTAGCAGGTCGTGCACTCCCTTACTACTGGATAATTTATGTTCTGTATAAAAATTATTTTGGTGGATATTGTTTTGCTAGAAATGAGTGGCAGGAGACTAATTGCACTCCAATAAGAAAGTAATTAAAGAAAAGAGCTCTGAGAAAGTGTGTACTTCCTTCAGTTATATATTGGTTATGACTGAAATGATTAGTGTGGAATTCTCCAATACAATGGGGTCTCATTTTGCGTGGGTATATCGTACTGGTACACATCCGTGCATCGGAAATCCGTGCAAGTGATGCCCTCTATTATGTGTTAAATTCTATATTGTACTGGATTCACCAGACCTTTAACCGGTACTCTAAAACGACTTTGAGTTACCAACTTAACCTTCCAAAAGTGGCACATAATGTCACATAAACTGCATCTAGTACATCATTAAAGATATATTTTAAGAAATCCCAGGAAGAGGCAGTGTCTGGTGAGGGAAAGGAGGAAGGGTTGATTTGGTCATCCCCCCCCCCCTGCTACCCTTTGGGGGGGGGGTGATTGTATAAACCCTCCTTCCCCCACCACACCCTGCCTCTACCACTCTCTCCTCCACCTCCCATCTATACCTTCCGACCCTCCGTAATTGTTTAAGTAAATAAGAACAAGAATAAGAGATATGGAATGAGAACTTGTGTAAAGAAATAAAAATAGAGGAAAAAAAGGTAGAGTAATTAC